AGTGGTGGAGTCCCCATCCCTGGAGGTATTTAAGAGATGTGTAGACAAGGTGCTTAGGGATATGGCTTAGTCAAAGACTCCTCAGTGTTAGTTAAATGGTTGGACTCAATGATCTTAAAGGTCTTTTCCAAACTGGGAAATTCTGTGATTCTGTGATCCTATAGACCTCTGTTATGGTAACGTGAAGGAAGCAGTTATATTCCATCCAGCCTGACAATTGCTATCAGGATCCCATTAGAAAATGGGATTCCCTGTAAAAAGGGAAAGAACACTTGATTGACAGAATATCCTTTATATAAATAATGTAGGTTTCACAGTATTGGCTTATTGCTCAGTTTGCCTGCATTTCAGCCGATTTCCTAGGCTGAAGTTTTGTCTTCATATATAATCAGATACAGACATTTCCTTTAAATGTTTCTTCCATAGATGTTCTAACTTGCTTCCCCACCAATTTCCACAGAAATAGTGAGGATCTCTTATCTGTCATTTCTTTCCGTGGAAGCTATGAAACATTTTAGCTGAAGAGAACGTTAAAGGCTCCAAGTTAATCTCTAAGAATAAGACGAGGCTGAAGCTAAAGCTTTATCTACGCATTGAGGTGACTTCTTCCAACAAGTAACCTCTTGTTTTTGCAGAAGCCCATGCCTGCCTCAGCACATGCCTGAAAGGAAAGTCATGAGAAATTCTGCTGAAACTACTGACTTACACAGTTAAAAATTTCTTTGTGGATACTGGACAGTGTCCAACGAGAAAGAGACTTAAAAGTTATTTTAAAAGGCATAGTTTTCATGGATTTATTGCATGTATTTATTAAAGTCCTTACAGAAAAGTAATGTAATTCTTTTTAAATAACAATGGCACTGCTTCATGAAGAGAAATTTTCAACTTTCTGATACTTGTACCAATACAAAATATAGGTCTCTGACCTCATTCATCAAGCACAAAATTTGAAGCAAGGCTCCTAAACAAAAAAATGTGACCAGCGTAGATGGTTGTAATGAAGAAAATCAGCATATTGGTAGAATGTGCGCTTTCAAATATAGTCAGAATTAGATGAACTTGTGTATTACAACACAGTGTATTACAACTGTATTAGTGTTAAAATTCTTTCCAAAATTCAGAAGCTTTTGGGATTTTCCAAAATGAGTAATTCCTTTAGTTCTACACAAATCTAAAGTTTAAAAAAGTCTGAAGGTCTATGAAGCTAGATGATGAAAAACTGGGAAAAAAAAGAAAAAAATAATAAAAGCAATGGTGAAAGCGGGGAAGGGGAGAGGGTTGAGGCGAATTCCTTCCAGCGCCACCATGGCCAATTCTGCATGGGAACGCTAGGAATTCCCCCCGGACTTTATTTTCTCCAGTGGGACAGGAATCCGGCAGTATTTTTCAGGGTGTGTATTACAACTCAAGATCCCTGCTGCATATGCTTTTACTTCCATATGCATCACTATTTAAGTTTCAGAGTCACTAGAGAGTTTGAGTGCTGAGTACAAGAAACATTTAAGAAACATGTTTTACAGAGGGCAGCTCTGAAAATTCCTGTTATTCAAAGATGTCTTGACTAGGCCTTTTTGCTTCTGTGTGTTTAGGTTTGTGTATATGGTGCATGTAAGTATGCTCTTAAGCAAAAAAGATGCATGAGTCGTTGAGTTTCAGCTGGACTAAATAGTTTGTCCTAAATTCAGGATAATCCTATTCCATAATGCTGCTATCATTAGGATACACATTCTGCTGCTGTCTTTGGATAATAGATGAAGAATATACTTTTTGAGTTCCAAGTGTTCACTATGTATTTCTGCAGGCCTTTTAAAATAGATGCCTCAGTCTTCTCAGCTAAAAAAAAAAAAAAGGCAAACAATTTGCTCATAATTTACTGTCTTTTAAAAATTGTTTTCTTTATAAAAAACTTAGGGAAAATGTTGTAGTTTCCCCTTGCTGTTAAACATAAAAGCTTCAAGGTTGCTTTGACAAACTGATGAGCTCAGTTTAGAGCACAAGATGCTGGCTCTACTCTTACGGGAGTCAAGACAGTGCTAGTAACACAGGCAGGGCAGTTAGTAAGGACCAAGCACATGGTTATTGTGTCAGATATGGTAATTTAGCATACTTACAGTAAAACTTAATGAAACATTTATTATTATATGTTTGTTTACCTTGTTATCTGAGCAATTCCACTTCTAAATTTTAGAATAAAATATTGTTAAATGCTGAAACTTTGACTAATGTTACCTGTGAATCCAGCCATGAGCTGTTACTTGTCTTGGTATTTCTTTTTACTCTGCCTTTCACATCTTGCACTTTTAACTTTAGGGGCAGCTTCAGTGCAATGTAAAAAAATGGTGCAAATGAGACGCATTTCATTCGGCACCTCAACGTTTTGTTTTAAAAATAGACAGCATCACAATTTTGCAGCCTGTGGTAGGGAATGAAAGCTAGCCTTCAGACACTTAAGTTCCCAATTAACAGAAGATAAATGGACATAAAATGATTAAGCAAAAGAATCTGAGCACCATCAAAAGCAATATATGTTCCACAGGAAATCAATTTGGTAAATTTTAAGGACATTATAATTAATCACCATGACTTGTTCATGACTTATAAGTTGTTCTGCACTTGGCTACAATTATTTTGATTTAATGTTTTTTAACAGTGAATAAAGTCGTTCAATTCCATTTAACTATCTAAAGCAATTCACAAGATTTAAACTCTCAAATATCTCTCCTGTTTGTCTCTTCCAGTTCATTTCTTCCATCCAGCTTTTTATGAGTCACTAAATTATTTCTAAATCCCAAACACATTTGGGGTGTCTTTCTTCCTTCATCCCAGGCAAAGCCAGAAGGAAATCAGTGTCACATCTGTACAAATAGCTCTAAAAACTGAGAGTTTGTCTATCCATTGCCTAATCCAGTTTCTGGATTTACAAAGAGGCTGGTGGGATCTTCACCATGTGAATGCGAGCGTGAATGCAGACTGATGGAGAAGCAGAACCACCTCGCGCCACTCTGAGCAGGGAAATCATCGTTCCTCCTAATACCACATCAGAATGGCTGAATTGGGCCACACTGGTACAAGGACATCACCAGACCTCTTCATATCACGCCCTGTAGCTCTGGGCCGCTGGGGCTCGGGGGTTTCTTTTCTTTCACGTGACCACTCAATGAGACCGAGAAGCAATGGGAAAAATTCACAGATCTAACCACTGCAATTCAGCTTTACTTACAGTAAAGTAAAGGCAGAACTGCAATCAGGAAAGAAAACTCCATACATAAGGCAACAGGGAGCCGCTGCAGTCCTGGGGAAGGGGGCTGCCTCAGGAGACCACAGGATTCGCAGAGGAGGCACAGCAAGCACGAAGCTGGAAGGCAAACCCACCTGGCCACATCTTTTCCCGCTGACAACCTTGGGAATCCCACCCAGTGGTTGAAGGTACTTTGCTTTGAAGCTCTGCTCCACACTGCACCCCAAGGGTTTCACTTTCCCATAGGATGTAACTGAAAGGTGAGGCAAATATGATAATTCTTAAATTTGCCATATGCCTATTTAAGCTCCAGATTTTATTAAAAAATGCATTGCCAATTTCCACCTCTGTCAAGGGCTGTGTACACCAGACCTCTCGTAGGATGTTCTTGAGAGTAGTGACTCCAAAACCACTCCAAACTCCTTACTACCAACTGACACTCAATTCCACACCTTCTCGCATCTCATCTGGGAATAAATAACTTCATTTTGACATGTTGTACAGCTTCTTATTTTAAAACTCTCTTTTTCTTTTGGCAGCTGCTCCACTTCAACTCCTTTGGCTTTCTTTTCCCCTTAGTTTTAACAGTAGAGATATTGAGATACAAAGAAACTACATTTCTAATCACTTTTTGATATAAATTCTAGTGCTTTTGGGACACAGGTGCCATTCTAGCTGCACTTTCACTCTGAATTTGCTACTGTAAAGATCCATAACTGTTAATTAACTGCAGTTTAAAACAGTGGCCTATTTTCTAAATTGTGGCAGCAAGGAACACAAATATCTTTGCTTCATACATTGCTGTGATCCAAGACAGGTATTTGGAAAAATATTCCTCGCTAGCAAGGGGAATAAATGTGTTAAAAAATTCAAACAGCATTGAAAAGGCAAAAATAAATACCTGAACGAGCGGGCATATCTGAATTCTAAAATTAACTAGAAGTTTCAAGGAGTTCATGACTTGTATGAAATAAGCACTTCTTTTCCTACTTCAATGAAGAAAGACCAGGTGCAAGCAACAAACACTGTATAGCTAAAATTTACTGTGAAAAAAATTACTAAAAAATTCCAGTGTACATATTAAGCCATATATTCATTCATTAGCTGAATCCCTGTTAAACACCCCACCCACTTACTGGAATGTAAAGACTGTTAAGCTCCAACATCCATTTATCATCTCCTGTGTTTTACTAGACAGAGGCTACAGTCCTCAGCAAGCAAAGTAACAATGAGAAAAAGGGTGCCGGGGAGTCAGAAGACTGGGGCTGCTTCATAAGAGAGTATGAGCAGGAGCTGAGGGTGACCCCAGCATAGGCCTTGCAGTCACATCTTCTTTGGAGATGGCGGGTGCTGGTAACAGAGTCCACTCATTGACACTGCACGACATGGCAAGTGATGACTTCATCCAGGGTCCTTCCAGGGGGCAGCAGGAGATAGGGCTGCAGAGAAGGTTACGATACAGTTTCGAGGTCTACACGGGAGACAGACCTGCACAAACTGCTCAGGGGAATACTGGGGCTGCTCAGGGCAGTAAAGGCCAATCAGTGTCCTCCCAGCGCTGAAAAAGTAACATTTCGAGGACTTGTCAGTGTTAGGTTGGTGGTTGGGCTCGATGATCTTAAAAGTCTTTCTGATTCTAGGTGACTGTAATTTACATATACACTTTAATTCAACATACATGGACTTGTATTAAACACAATGCTGGTGGTATGAAAAGCCTTATCAAGGACAGTAAGGCTCTTTCTGGACTTTGGCCTGTTCGTTAAAGTTGTTTGAGTTTTTTTGCAACTTGTGCTTCTTTTTGATAATGTGAGATAATCTGAGCGATTATGAGGCTATTAATAAAAAGGAAAAGCAAGCCTGCCAACCATATGACTAAAAAAGTGTTATATCCTTTGAACTCCAGAAAGTATGCAGGAGCGAGCCACAGGCCTTGTCCAACAAACCACAGGAAAAGAAGCAGCACACCACGACGCCAGGACATCTTCACGCTAGGCATTATGAGGGGCAAAAGGCAGAGATACCAGACAAAGTACTGGGATGTGCAAACTTTGTTAAAACTCACGAAAATAGCAGTGTGTAGGAAACAACAGAAGGCAAGGTCTCTGTAAAATGCTACGGACACAACCAGGAGCAAAAGCAGCTGGGGCAGGAAAGCTGCGAGCCCAAGGGCAAAACTCCATTTGCTTTCTGCAGTTAAGTATAACATATAGAAATAGGGAGAGAAGTTATGACGGATATCTCTCCTGGTCAGGTGGTAGAGGTAGGCATGCTCCAAAAACTCCCAGCCATAGAGGTGATAGAAAGCAACAGATAAGGCAGCAAGCATGGATC